CAGCGTGACGAAAAAGGGAAAAATTGAACACTTTGTAGGGTGTTCATGCTAAAGTGTAACAGCCGTTTTATTTCGTAACTATTGATGACACGAAAAATTGTTTAAGTGGAAATTGCATGGTACAATAGGGCCTATATCTTGGCGTGAACGAAATTTCTTTTACATTATTAGTTTAAAAGATATCGAGTTTCGTTTTTTAAATGGAACTATATATTTTTTTTTTCAGGTCATAGTGCTTTTCAAGACGAATTCATTAAGCTTTAATATATACACGAGATTTTAATTAATTGTCAAGACATAACTGATTTTCAGCAGAGACGTCTCGATTCGAGTAGCAAGTAGTAAAAGCGGACCTATTGTTGCGGTAAGTGCCATATGTTTGACTGTGCCTCTTGAAACCGATAGCGAGGGTCTACGCTCGGAACGGCAGGCCCGAAAAGTAAGAAACGGGAAAAGTATTGTTTATCACGGTTTAAGTTTGTTGCTAATAATTTGGGAAGTTGAAACATTAATTTAACACGTTGAACGCCATGGGGGTTACCGGTGATCGACACCGGAAATTACACGTGCCTGAATAATTAAAAGAAAAGCATTATTTTAAGTAATACTGTTATGGCACACATAATGTAAAATGGTAAATAAAGCTTAAAATTTGAAATTTGAAAATTAATTATTTCTATTCTTAATAATTAGAGCTTAAATACGTCCTATAACAAATGGCCATTTTCACTGTGGCGTTCAACGGGTTAAGGGTTTTAGCTGAATATGTATATGTATAATTATCAAAGACTCGTGTTATTAAATTTTTGAATTCTTATCACTTAATTATCCTCGAAACTCTCTTATTCGCCTACACTTTTCAAGTTGAAGTAATAAGAAACAACAAGTACTCTTGATGGAATGTTATACTTGGAAATAAGTTTTGGAAATAGAACAATCCCGATGAAATATACGTTTAATCTCTGTACATGTAAACCACAGTGTGTTCTACATCCTCCTCTACAAAATTGCACAGCACGCTAGGCAATTGAATGTTTAGAAGCCAATAGCCGCTATCAAAGCGTACATGACGCTTGAATTTATTTCCAATAATGAAATTTCACTGAATAATTAATTACACGAATCGAGCCGACAAATCAAACTGTTCGGTAATTGAATTGAAACAGTAAGCTATTTGCCTACGAAATCGTACGTTTCGACGTAGAGGCGTTAATTTTTAAATAACGATACTTGAATTCATGACTAATCTGTTCAATTGTTTCATCGATCTTCGAAATTTGCCTGTAGCAGCACAAAATTTATAATAAGTAACCATGTTTCACCAGGATGAAATCCTTCTCGGATTGGTAGAAACAACGAAACTGATCGCGAGAAGATAAACTGCGTTCTCCGATGTATTCAATCTTTCCGTCAGGATTAATTAATCAAGCCAGGCCATAAATATCGACCGACTCGGCTTTCAAACCAACGAATGCTTACGGCTTACGATTTTCGCCGTAAAGCTAAATATATGCTTCAGTTTCGACTTTCCTGAAGATACGTTGGACCAAGAAGAGATACTTTTACTAATTATACATTTTCAATGAACATGTGCACCTAGCAGATAAATATTATAAGAGAGCAAAAAGATAGAAAGACGTTACGTGAAATTTACGATATCCGAAGGCACTGACAATCAGAGCAAGGCCTTCATCTCGTTTTATTGGGTCTAGCCTGGCTGGCTGCTGTTTCTTCCTCGTCGCACACTCTAACAAGTTTGAAACTTGCAAACTTGCAAAGTTCAGAAACGTGCAACAACGCGGCCCTCCACCTGTATCCCGCCTGTTAAATACCTCGTTCCTAGGTCTATAGTCGAAGATACGAGATTAAAAAAATGAATCTTTGAAGCACTGTCCGTCATTAACAATAACGGGTGATTCTAACTTGGTGACAAATCAGAAAATTACTGTCGTTTCAAGAGCTTCCTTTTCAATTATTAATTCAGAATTAATCAACTGCCGAGTAACTTAAATAACGACTTCCGAGTACAAAAGGTTAATGATTCATAAGCTGAATTTCGTTACAACCCCTCGTTTGTCAGAGAAATCGAATAACTGGGAGAGCCAGAAAAGTACGGTTTAAACATGGAAAAGGTCCTTGGTTCGATCTGGTTTATCAGAAGATGCAGAATCAGAGAAGGGCGGAGAGGGGAAACAAGCGACGAACGAGGAACGAGGAGCGACTAGCGGGAACAACGACTCGAAGGTACTTGGAATTTATTCGAAAGCAACCTCGTTACGGTGCGGCTCGCTAAAGTAGGTCGCATGAAAATAGCGAGGACGTTTAAAAGCACCTCACCGTACGATTTAACGTCAATGGGCCACTTCTCGTTCCCCTCTTTTTCTCTTTCTCCGAGACTGCATCTCCTTTTTCTTCGTCTACCAACCCAGCCAGCCTCGCGTACTTTTCCTTTTGCTAGCTGACTTGCGACATTTAAGCAAGGAACCCAGTACGACGCGAGCGTAGCCGTGTGACGAGCTCTTGGGGAAAAATCTTTGCCCGCTTTGGATGCTTGCGCGTTTCTGCTTTGTGCCTACAATTTTTTTCCTTTTTTCTCTTCTTTCGACAGAGATTCCTTCTCGACAGACTGTCACCTTCTACGTTGCACAGTTTCACGCCTCGAATTTCCAAGACCCTTTTGTAATTTCATTTATTTTTTTATCATTTCGCCTCTCGATCGATGCAGTAATATAATAATAAAATTCTCTACATTTATTGATAAGCTTGCGGGAATGACACTAATCGGTCTTCGACAGAGAGCTCGTACTAATAAAGACGTTGACGCAGCGTGAAAAAGAAAGCAAGATAATAATCGATGCAGTCCGTCTTTTATCCTCGACCTTCGAAAGAAAGAGAGAGCGAGAGTATAAAATACCGAAGAAGCCGATCACCATCCATTATTAACACTCTATGAGCACGTACGCGGTATTTCGCCGACGATGAGGGTATATAAATGACTTCCACCCCCAAAACTTACTCCTCGACTATAGACACGCTAGATAACCTTCGATCGTGGCCCGACCTCAATCGAACTTCATCCCCTACGAGGTTGAATTTCTCGTAGGTGCCGTTTACTACGACAATGAAGACACCACCAACCCTTTCCTAAATGGTGTCATCTTAGAAAATTTCATTCTATTACGATTGAAATTTCTTTCCTCGGAAAAAAATAGGAAATAAAAATTCAAAAGGTGAAGCAGTGGCTCTCGATTACACGGTTGTTTCGCCACTTAAATTATGAGCGAGCCGCATTGAACCGGCGTCGATAAACCGTCGTTGTTGAATTAATAACTGGTCCTAATTGAATTAATAATCCGCTCGTCCCTCTACGGAAATTGTAATAGCTGCTCGGTGGCTAGCAAAATACGGGGCCAAGCTATACGTACAGTTATCGGTTCCTGTCCAATTATTGGCTTCCCTTCTACCCCTATCGGAATGTTCCATCGAACCACTGGCAAAACGAGTGATTTTTCCTTTTTTTTTTTTTCAAACAGAAGACGCGGCCTTTCGACGTTGAATACATTTGCTCGTCGCATATTTTGCAGTGAATAGATGTTCACAGTTTTCGTTGGAATTCGAGTCCATAAGTTCGATTTCAGACATCGAGATAAACAAATTATATTTTGGAAAAGCGAGAATTAACATCTATTCTTCGAACAGAGAAACATTTTAAAATATTGTTATTATTATTTTTCCAGAGATTCTTTGTTCTTTGAAAAGAAAAATATATACTTTGAACCGCTGAATAGTTAGCTTGTTTTAATTATTTAAACTTATTAAATTCGTGGTGCCAGTCACGGATACCGTCCACAGCAATTAAAGCACCTCCCCCATCCGAAAAAAAAGGAAGAAGAAATCGAGACAGTTGGAAACTCCAATCGTTTCGTTAGCTTAACACGCGATCTATTCCACGAAACTTCACAGAGAACCGTCTCGTGTCGCGATCAAACAGGAAACTCCCCCGTTCTATCTAACTTTCCCCATGAACGAAAACGTAGGATCGAAGGGACCACGATGTTTACGAATCGGCTCTGGCTGGCGAGCCAACGTCAACAAGAACGATTCTCCGTCGAGCGTGACCTTGTTGACGTCGCGACGAAGCTGACCGCGGTGTTTCGAGCAAAGTTCGCATTTGTCAATTTATTAGCTCATTTGTGAAATTTTCCCGGATATTACGAAATTTATTAGAGAACAATTGAACTAATCGTAATTATAAGTAGAGCTAATATATACAGGGTGATTCTCTCATTAATGTACCCAAAGGAAATGCCACCACAATAGTATTGAATGCACCCCTAAGCCCTTTTATGTCGTCGGTATCTCGACGGTGGTGCATGCTGCAGCTGTATGCGTGAAAATGTGTGTAACGAGAAGGAAACGTTTAAATGCGACTTTCCTTTTTGTTACAAACATTTTCACGGACACAGCTGCAGCATGCACCACCGTCGAGATATTGATGACAGAAAATGATTTGGGCCCATTCATATTGGTGTCGTGACATTTGCTTTGAGTATCACACCGTAGTAATAAGTAAAGGCGGTTAGATTGCAGTTTCCCGGGTAATTGATCTCGACTATTTGATTGGATAAATCAAGGTCGGAGAAGACGATAGGAAGTGTCCCGAGATCGATATCACGTGGCGTTACAAAGTTATGGCCATTTTAAAAAATCACAATTTGGAGAACTAAGGAGAACTAAGCTAAGGTAATTCAAAGGCTAGCTTAGGGTTGGGTTAGGTTATTTTTTGGATTCGAAATTATCGGAAAATTTTTGAAAAATTGTGATTTTTTAAAATGGCCCTAACTTTGTAACGCCACGTGATATCGATCTCGGGACACTTCCTATCGTCTTCTTCGACCTTGATTTATCCCATAAAATAATCGAGATCAATTACCCGGGAAACTGCAATCCAACCGTAAAGGCAAGCATGGAAAAAAGACTACCAATAAGATGAAACTCACCGCTTCTTCCGGTAGGCGTCGGAGCGGACGTTGATCTGCCAGTTGGTTCCGGAATCGGGAATATGAGATCGCAGCATTCCCTTTCAGGGAACTCGCTGGCTCGAGTGCACCTGCAGCAACACGACAACACGACGATCGCTGCCGCAACACTCGCGAACAGCGTCGATCGCGCCAGCAGCGTCCCGACGACACGTGACATGACTCTACCCATCAGATCATGGTACAACATGGGTCCTCTATCTTTCAGCGTGTTCGTAAAACGATCCTCTTGGAAACTTTCGAGGGCCAACGATCGAGATGTAGGTGTCGAACGACGACGACGACGATGAATCCCGCGGCGTCCGCGCGACATCCTCTCGTCGTCCGTCTCATCGTGCCCCGTTTCCTCCACCTTCGATACGATCCAAATCGCGCCAACGCTCGTCGTATCCAGACCGGAAACGCCGCGCCGGTTCACACTTCGTTATCCTTTTCCGTCAGTTCAACGATCAACTTTTTCACACTTCTTGTAGAAATTTGCCGAGAAAAAAATGACTCACGCACACACCGATTTCGACGGAAACATTTGAATCTATCCTATCCTATTCTATTATATATTATAATTGATGGAAGAGGATCGCGATTCTCTGGATGGATCACACGTGCGCGTCACAGACGATCGAGATCATCTCTGGATCGTTATCCAGAAGCTGATTCAACTTGTAAACCTGTTTGCTACAAGTTTGACCCTCGATTGACTATTTTTCGAAACACACGCGCGGAAAAACACGAAACACGTTTAACACGAACGAAGAGATGTACACTCGAACGCGACTCGGTTTAGTGTTATTTTTAATGTGTGTTTCGTGTGCGTGTACGTGTTCGTGTTTAAGTGTTGGCGGAGAAAAGGACGTGGCAAAGGGTGTCGCGAAACACTCGATCCTCGTGTCACTTGGCGCGCGCGTACTCGTTACTACCGAGCGTACTTCCGAGACCGCGTCGCGTCGCCACGACGTTCCGACGCCCAATGACGATCGCACCGTGTACGACCGATAGCCGCGCGGTCTAACCCTCCCCCCACTCTCCTCCTTTCTACCTGCTTTTCCTGCCCCTTCCACCAAACTTACATGCGATAGTTCCTGCGCGAAAGTGTGCGCGTTCTGCGCGTTCTCCGCGTTCTCCGCGGAGTTCTGAAACCTCCGACGATGAGAGACCAGTAATATCTCTATAGATGTTACGTGTCCTTGCACGTGATACCCTCTACGTGTGCTAGGATAAGTAGACGATGTTCAAGGGATGCTCCTAGGATGCTTCTACACGCAACTTTAGTGGCATTTGTTCTGAAGGAAAATTTAAATAATGGAACAGTGCATCTGATTATTGACATACGATGAAATATTAGCATTTTATGCGACACCCTATATATACATTCAGCTATAAAAATGATATTGGCGTGTAGTTGTAACACAATTCGAGAGAACGTGGAAACGACAATGTCCGAGTGTATCCGAGGGATTCCGAGGGGAGGAAAACCACCCCGTAGCTAGGGGTGACCAGGTGGATGGGCGAACGGGCCACCAACGATCCTCCTCCCTCGTCCCTCGTACGCGTCGTTCCTGACCTCGTTTCGGTTGGTTTGTCCAGGTCGGTTACGCGGAAATGCCCGCTGGCTCCCGTGCTGCTCACCCCTGAAAACTGTCTTACGATTACATAGTCTTAAGTATTATTATCCCTTAAGCGTCGTTATCAGACCAGCTGGTTCCAGTTAAATATTCCCCGACAGCTTGACAAGATGTAATGAAAAGTTTATTTCAAAATGTACAAACCACTTGAAGGTTTAAAGAGGATTTCAGTTTTTTCGTTTGAAAAATTTGCAAAGTGAACTCGCTCGAGGTAAACTTGAACCGTAGGAAATTTTAAAGACCACTCTAACTCGGGAAGCAATCTATGGAAGGGTCTGAAATTTTAATCGTTCATCAAGCAACCTACGTTGGACCAGTCGTGAAAATTTCACTGCTTCAACATCGTACCACCTTGCGGACGCGATCTTAATAAACGATAGAGTATTAAGTGTCGTAAGTCGTAAGTGATGGGATTCTCGCTGCGAGTAGTGAATAAATTTAATAAATTCCTTGTTCGCTAATAGAAACTTGTACAGATTACAACAAACGGTGCAGAAAGGATCATTCTGGTTGGTAGAGTAATGAATATTATCGTTCGTGATTCGAACATTATCAATTAGAAAGGGTGATTACCAGAATTCACGGACGTCAACGATCGAGATGCGCCGCATAATGCAATGGCAAACAATATTATTAATTCCCATCGTGACGTACCGAAAATCCGATATTCCGTTAGTGGTCGGCGAAAAACGCGCCCGACCACCCCAACAATCCGCATAATCGCGACTCGATTGGCCGTGTTAAATAGAACCAACCTAATATTGACGTGTAATATTAATCGAGTTTTATGTCGACATCGGGGGTAATTGTTTTAACGCGTCGACTGTCACCGTTGGGGAGGGGGTGTGTCGTTGATCGGCGCTTGGAATTTAATACGTATATCATTAATTCAATAACTGAGAAAAATGAGAAATTCGCAACGACGAGAGGGTGACAAGAATTAAACGATTACGGATGAAACATTATAAGACAGTGTCTAGTTTTCCTGTAAAATCAAAATACTGCGAGTTCGACTGTTTTACTGATAAAGCTAAATCGTTCGTCGCGCCGCGTCGCGTCGAGTCGGTCGGGCTGACCGAAGCTAGTAGAATAAGCACGCCACTACGCTGGCCAGACAGAGTAGTGTACTCTGCGGCAGTAGAAGTTGAGTTAGAATGGTCGAACAAGCAACGTTGGTTGTTGGAGAGTTTGTGTCAGCACTTATACGAATAATCAAACCGTGCCTGTTCCTACAAGCTCGGGTATGAATGATTCGTCGACGATATAAAGAAAAGCTTATTCTGCGTTAATTACCGTGTAATTCGGACAAAACGAAAGAAAAGCTTTAGATTCTCGTTCTTTCTCAATGTTAGCTAATTAGTCGCAGGAACAATTTCTTTCGATTGTTCTTCAATTTCTTTCAATTGCGCAAACTAAAGATGAATTTTATATTAAAATTCAGACTCGAAGACGTTTGAACACTTTGTTCCGAAGATATACAATGCGTAGGAATCTTAATTTGGAAATCGTCGCGGCGTATCGATTTTATTAACCGGCCCATCATCTCCTCAAAAACGTCGTTGGAGAACGATTTTATAAGTTATAACTCGCGAATTGACTTGCGAGCGAAAAATGATGTAACTAGGACGCTCGTAAATTTCTACCTAATAAATTTCCTATGCAAATAACTTTCTTCCATTTTTACAATCAAAAATAGGGATAATGTTTCGTATAAAAGAAAATCCATTGTCTTATTGTTAGTTGTTTCTTTGGACATCTAACGCGCGGACGAACTATCCATGTAATTTAAACGCGACGTCTTTCGTTGGAATACGAAATAGTTGCGTGCCAACGGAACACTATCATCCACGTACGTCGATATCACGCGAAGATACCTTGATGGCGAAATCGCGATCCAACCAGCACAGTGGCACGATCAAATTACGAGCGACAAAGTAGCCTCTCCTCAGATCAAATCGCTAATTTATATCTCTGCTTTCCAATGGAAAACTCGAATCCTTTGTACAAACACACAAAAGGCAAAGCTCCGGATAAAAAAGATAAAAATAAAAAAAAGAACACGGAGAGAAGAAAAGTGAAATAGAGTTTCATGAATCAGTGTCGAGGCATTGACACATAAGGGTAGCTGCATTAGGAATCGGGTTTAAACGAGCCGTAATATATTCAGCGGTGTACCGCTGTATCTACCGCTGTATCGGGCGTCGAAAGCGCGGGGAGAAACGGATGCATAGAGAACTCGACGATAGTCAACGTCGGTCTGCGGTTACGGTGAGTAGAAGTGACAGCCAGTAGCTGCATAATGACTCGACTGCAGCCGTTCAATGCGGTGCGCAAGCTCGGCTACGTTGTTTCGTCGCGTTGGCTACAAGAGAGAGAATCCAACTGCCACCCCTCAACAACCGAACCAACGATTCTCTCCCCTATACCTTTTGCAACCATGTTACCGGCACACCGACTCGTCTTTCACGCGCTGGCACGCGATTCTCACGGTTTCTTTCGAATCCGTAATTTCAGCCGGCGGCAATAACTCTTCGTCGATGTAGAACCCGTAATTTCCAGCTGCTTGCTACCCTGTACGCCTGTTAATTTCGCCCCACGTTGCGCCGCAGCCCTGCATCTAGAACACTCGATTTCGTATGCGTCCTGACACATATTTTTACTTCCATAAATAAACACCTCCTGTGTAGATAAATAAGAAAATAATTTTAAAAACACATCAATATTCATTATTTTGTAAAAATTCAAAAGATTGTTTTAAAAAAAGAGACGCAAATAACACATTGTTTTAAGATTTACCTCAGTCACATATTTTACGATTTACGATGACAGACTAGTTTTTCAGACAATCGTTTCGTTCTAACTGATATGTTGAGTTTTTTGGAATGAAGGGAGGACTGGTGATCACAGGGCTGAAATATGAAATAACATCAAGTACCAGAGCGTTATAAGTAAAACATATTAATCATATGCAAATATAAATGGTGTTTTACATGGTACAACTACCAAATAAACGGTACAATATGAGGATGACCGTTGCGCGAAAAAGCGAGTAAACATTCATCGTACTTCCGGTATTCATGCGCTTAAGGAACCCTCCGAAATTCATCGAAATTACACGCGTCTCGGTTATTTAGAAAAAAACAAAAAAAAATACACGCTATAGAGAACAAATAACTATAAATGTACATATGCCAGCATAAAATTTCCTTCAACATCAAACACATTTTTTTATCACGGTTAGTTTTAAACATCGACAAATTTGTCGTGATCGCAATTTGCAAAAGAAAAATATTTATTACGCCAATCGCAAACTTTTAAAAAGAGTATTCCTTAAACGCTACACACTTTTATTTGTATTTTTCACCTTTCGATTAAAATGAATTGCCGAGCGTGTTAGTTTCCTGTCGGCTAACCCGAGAGCACCAAACGAATTGTACTTGATTCAATTAAAAAAACAAGAGAAATACTTATAAAATACACGAATTTGAAAGAAACACGCGCGTCAAGTGTTAATTCAACGCACGTAAAATTACACACGTATTTAACCTTTACGCCCACATACCACGTGTAATAAGTATCCTTCGCGACACTAAAAGCACTGCCAGTAATCATAATTTGATCATTCAAAATTTGTTCTTGTTTCTTTAACGATATATGTATGTATAAAAGGTAGGGCAAAAGTTTCGATCGTCCACTGTGTGAACAGTGATACATAAAAAATTATTCAGATTTTTTTCCCTCTAAAATTGACATTTCTCAAGAATAATCGAAGTAATTCATTAGACAGCGTAAAGGTTAAATTATACAAGCATAAAGTCCATTCGTTCATCCATCCGTCCGTTTGCAAGCGCATGAAGACAGGTCGGACCCAGGTAATTTAAAATTTGTATTCTTTGTAGTAGCATGCACTTTTAACTGGGTGCACGCTCGATCACAATATATGTATGCTCAATGTGTACGTGTTACATGTGTCTGTATGTGTAAGTGTGTAAATGTGTATCTCTGTATAATGTGTGCCTGCACATATATAGATATATAGGTACATACATAGATCGTTCTAAGATCGCGCATGCCTCGGCGCATACATCTATATATATGCACCGTAATAATATATATATAATATATATTTATATATATATATATATATATATAATATATTCTTTTTTTGTTCATTTTCTTTCGATTTCATACTTATGACAATAATAGTTATACTTTACATGCAAAAACAAAAGTTTTATCACAGTGGGACAGCATACATTCGTTTAATAATAACGCTATATCCATGTATCGATAATTTCTTTTTTTTGTCATTTCTTCAACACCCCGTTCAGAACATGTCGTGTCCCAACCCCTGCCCCCCACCCTCAACCCCCAAGCTCCTCCGTCAACTCTTGCACTGAACGTTCAATAATGATCGGCTATTATCGCCTTCGCAGAAAATCACTCATTAACACATGTTTTACATTCGCACGCGAATGATATTCTCACTGATATACATTTGCATCAATAGCATGTTCTTTGAAAAAACTACAAGAGAACAGAAAGGAAATATTGGCAAGGATCCAAATGGACGTACACGAATCTGTCGGTTGCGGCGGTCGAACCCGATTTTAAGACATTTTCATGCGCAGTCGCAATCGTTTTTAATATTTTTAATAGTTGAAAGATTCGATACGAATCAATACTGAAATTTTTCTCGACACAATTTATAGTTGACAATTGTTTCGTATAGAATGAATTATTATAGTAATTATTACCATTACAATATTATTACTAATAATTATTATCAGTAATTATCATGAATCGTTTTACGAATTACTGTAAATTGGAGGATTTTATACGGTTCATTATCAAAACGTTTGTCAGCATAATGCAGAGCTAGCTTAGAATACGTGTGCTAGGATACGACACTAATTATGAAATAATGACCATTAGTAATTATGAACCGTTCCAGAAATCACATTAAAATGAGAAATTCGATATGATTTATTATCGAACCGCTGATTGAAAGCATCTTAAAATCGTGTTCCCGCGTAACGTGTTCTTCAAAGATAGATTTTCAAAATATCCTCTCCCGAAATACATTCTCTCGTACACATACACACGTACTCTTGTCACGATGATCTCTGCCACTTTCGTCGGCAAAGGATCGTCAAGAGTTACTTTGTTACAATTAATTATTAATTCGTTATACCTAGGGTAACAATATATTGGTCTACGGCGCCACCGTTTTTCCCATTCTATTAGTTTCTATTTCCTATTGGCTGTTCTCTTCTCTTCTCTACTAATTATTATATGTAATAATCGTTAGTTAGCATTGACAAAAAGAGGAATCGACCCATGTTTCATCAGTTTTGGAATTCAAAAGGACGTATTTCGTCGTCGTTAATCTCACATTCTCTCATTCTCTCTTTTACAAAAAAACAGCTCGCGTTTTGCTTAAATGTTTCATTTAGTAACTGGAACCTGAGTTTCTCGCCCGTAGCTAAAACGCCGTTTAATATTGCTGCCAATATTTATAAAAAACGTGTCCACAAAAAGCGTCCACTCCCAAAAAACACTGCATCCCTTTTTCTCTCTGACCGGTAATAATCGGACTCTTTTTTTAAATGCGATCGTTGTGGTGCACCAAGTTCCTCGAAAAAGTCTCGTCGAAATTACGAGAATCTTTATTTATCATTACGATTAATTAATTGATTAATTAATTATTATTATACGATTGCAATTACGGTTACGATAGCGTTATCGATACGATTTCAATATCAATGATTCGCAAAATATTTTTTTTCTTGCTGCAAGGCTCCTTCATTTTTCTTTTCTTTTTTAATGGCGAGCATACCGGAATATCTTGTTAGATTAATTGATCCTTATCTCTCGTGTTTTTTTTCCATCTTTCTTTATCTCCTGTCGTCACAGATAGCGCAGACATGAATCACCTCGACGGATCAACCCTATCGTACCGTACGAATTTCGTCCTTTCTCTTTTTTCTTTTTTTTTTTTTTCTTGTATTTGATCTCGTTCACCTTGCATGAGGGATTGGTAAACTTCCTTATAAGGGGACAAATATTGAATATTTTTAAACACTGCGAACCAAAAGATAATAGGTACACCAAATTTGTTGAAAATAAACTTATTAGCTAAAAGAATTTTGTATTATTATACTTTAGCGTAGTTAGCGGGCCAAAATTGGTTCGCAGTTTACCAACCCCTAATTTAAAGACACACACACAGACACACAATCGCTCACTTTCTTTGTTCCATGTTTCATTCTTGCTTTAATCTCACATACTGCACCTCTTTTTAACTTGTACAAAAGCTAAGGCAACTATTACGCGTTATCTCGTTCTCTGTCTAACCCTTTTCACCCCAATTAGAATTGTTTCTCTTTATCTCTTCGTTTGCTGTTCGCCGATACTTGGATCCATCGAGCACCCATCGAGTCGCGCAAAATATCTGAATCCCGTCGTGTCTGATCGAATCTCGAATGAAGATTCTCTTTTTTGGAAGAAACCGATTCCCGACGAGACACAGCAGTCGGCATGTTTACACGAGTTTGAAATAAAAGAACATGGAAACGATCGTTCAGCAAATCGTTCGTTAAGAAATGTCATCATCTTAAATCCACGTTAAATTCCGAATCGTTCTATTTCTCCATTCCTTCTTATGATTCTTCTTTTTGTTTTGTACAAAACAACTATTGGAGCTCGAATATACATATACGTCGTGATGCGACACGTTTTATATCGTACAAGAACGTTGCATTCTCTTTTATTATGCCACAAAATCTCAACGAAGACTAGCGTGCACCCCCCGCCCCCTTTTCTGAATAAAACAGAGAAAATTTCTCACGTGGGACTTTTAATTATTTCCCGAAACTGTACGAACGTTAACAATTCAAGTCCAAGAAACCAGTTTCTACGATAGCTTCGCACTCTACAACTACTTCTCCAAGTATTTCTTCAACTGAATTAATTTTGAATAATTGCAATTATAAGATTTCATCGAGTCTTGATTCACTTTGAACTATTCGCTCTCAGACGAATAGCATGTACTGCTCTTCAGTCGTTTGTTAAATTTTTTTCAATCGTAGAAACACGATCGGCGATGTTTTTATATGCATCTGAGACTTACATCGCGATGTTCAAGATATATAATTAATATATGTATTTGCATACAACATACGCCACGTATGTATTATAAATAATCAATTAAAGGTTTGCTTTCAAAGTAAGTAAAAATATATAGATATATAATATATACAATACATATATGCTCATATATATATATTTTTTTTTCGATTTCCGTTCATTTTCTCTCCGTACTCCCTCGTCATCGCTTATATTTCTTTCGCCGCCAACGAAATGTATCGCGTTTATCTTCTAAGACTGTTTTTGTGTTTCGTGTTTCATGTTTCGTGCATGCGAGCACGCTGATTTATGTGTACATTATATGCACGTGTTTGATTGTGTATATTGCGTGTCCTGTCGTTTTTTTTCTCTTGTGTACTGCTGTACCCTTTACTTTTTGTGTTTCAAAAAAAAAAGAAAGAAGAACGACAAGACAGAGAGTGTGTCTAGAAATTTGAAGACAACGGTAGATGTCTTATTGTATTATATAGGTTGTATGATTATAATGATGGTACTGCCAGATAGCAGATGATTCTTTGTGCAAAAATGAATGGAAAATATAGAATGACATTTTCTTGTACTAGCCTTTGTTTCTGAGATAATTAATTTTGAAAGTTCTTTAATACATTTTGTCAGGTGGAGTTGAAGGTTTGTACGTAGGAAAAGGTTGATACTTAATTTAACAAGTGCCTAATGTTTAATCATTTAAAATCAAGCTTAATGACTTTTCTGATTATTCGAAAAACTGTTTCGATTAGTATTTATTATCATTAGGAAAATTATTTCACAGGTATTCAACCATAAGGATGTTAATCGTGATACATAATTAAAACGAGATTATACTTCAGACATTGCGTCTATTTATTAGCTTAATTTTAATTATTAGAAAACCAATATGAATGGAGATATTTATCCATAAAATAGCAAGTCGTTTTCCAATCAAATACACGCGTACATTATCGTTCGTAAGTATTTGAAAAGTGTTCTCATGTCTAAGAAAATTTCATTCTTCGTCCATCAACATTACAGTTACTCGCTAAAATATAGGAATAAGGTAAAAATGGTACTTGTAAATAATTTATATGTATCTAAAAGATGCCAATCAAATCAGCAAAAAACTTTTGACAAAATACTCGCACACGTGTTAAAATGATAGTAAAATAAAAATAATTGTCAATTATTTTTAAATACGATAGTAAAATAAGCTTCATAATAAATCAATAATCAACTGCTTTTGATAAACTTTTGCCAAATTTTTCAAGAATCACTTACAACTTTCTAATTTGCAACCGTCTACTTACGAACGCTAGTGTACTCAACTCAATTTTGTTAAATCAATGATCTCCAAAACGAAGTTCACTTTACATTTCCAAATCATTTCTGCACAACCCAATTACTCTCTGTCTAATTGCACCATCGTAGCAAGCACGGCCTGTGTCACCGACATTGTCGTATTTCAAACTCCTGTCCCAAATTATTTTCTCCGATCTACAGATATTGCCACCAAATTTTTAGACAACTACCTCGTACTCGTCGCTTAACAGTAGTTTAATGCGTGGTAAAACGCGTGAAAAAAAAAAAATTCACGCACTTCAATCGTCATCGAATCGCCCGTTTCCGGATAACACGTTTCACATTTATTATTCGCGCCGAGTCGCTCCTAGTTCGCCTTCTTTATCATTCTAACGACGTGCCTGAAATTCTAACGACGTCTTTAATTACACGCTCGATGGATTTTAACAACGCTCGTTCTTTTCCATTCGAGCGACTATTATTTTTCTCTTTTTCTGTTGTGAATCGTGAACGAAGCCGGAAATATAAATCAATAATTCGAAAACGAAGAATGCGAAACACGAAATGATCGTACCCTTCGAAAAGCAATTAACCCGATAAAACAACATTCATTTCTTGAATTTCTTCATTAAAAAGGAACGCGCGATTCGATGACGCGATCATTAATGATCGATTACTGCACCTGCGCGCGATTGGACGATCACAAATACAAGCCTATCGGCGCCAGGGCACTTGAATTGTTTTTCTCTCGTATAAAAAACTTAAGCTACCTATAAACCTACGGTAATTCGAAACCTTTAGGATGAGCAACGAGCCTATTCCTTTTTTTTTTTTCGTTTCTGTGTATGTTTGCTTTTCTTTCTTCTTTCTTTTTAAACATACCAATCTCTCGTTTACATATGTTTTCCCTCCGTGTCTCGAAGTTCGTCATCCTGTACTACACTGAACGAATAGAATAGAAAAGAAAATAAAGAGAAAAAAAAACAACCACCATCGTTGCTCTGAAACGCTCGAGATCGTTCCTCGCTTCTTCATATCGATTTACATTTCGTTTCTTCTGACTATATTGGTAAACGAGAATCACGGTGAACGTGGATGATCGAAAGGAACATCCGGTTCCGATCGAAGTGACCGCTAACGATCGAAGATGAATCACTTGGACGGTGTACTCGATACTCTTTTGTGATTACGGACCGCACTGTAATGCGCAAAATTTCTCCAGTTCCCGTCAATTGAAAGCAAGGGATTCAGAGATGTTTCTTCCTGCCACCAGTCTCGCCGAATGATTCTTGTTAGATTTCTGAGATCATTCAAAAGCAGCACGAACATCGATATCAAAAGCGAGAAAGATCCCTCGATCTACCCCGAGATTGCAAATTTTCTGTAACGAATTTTCGTCTGTTAAGCGGGGAAAAAATAAAACATAATTAACTCGTCGTATGAAAGCCCGTGATTAGGTTTCATACGACGAATCAACTCGCGTATCGGTTACCACTGTCGAGTTAACTCGTCGTGTAATTATTCACATACGGATAACATATGGCAAGTTAACGCGGCGTGTAATAATTCACATAGGTTGCGTACGACGAGTGAACTCTTCGCTAGAATTACTTCGCGCTTGACAAGTTAACACGTTGGCAACTATTTTTCATCAAAACTTACAAACCACTTTGCAATCATTTTTGCTACGAAACAGCTCGTATCTCTTCATCTATAGATCCCAATTATTGTTCAACTTCTACTTCGTGGATCAACGTGTTAACAAGCCTCATCGATCAGATCGATACACGGAAGTTTTCTCAATATTCAATGTAAAACGAGAATACTGATAACACGCAGACAAATTTCACAACGTCTCGAGGTAAATAATGCGTCGCATCGTAAGAAAGGAGAAGAGCAGCTGATAATTCCGAACACGTTATAAAAAGTACCGTTCTCGAACGAACAATAAGAAAAATATACGAATAATAAAATCACGAATGGCATTTGCACATATCAGTCGCGGGACAATGCTATCGTCGACACGAATGCCTGTTTATCATTCGACGATCACACGCACGCATCGTAATTAAGTCCTACAGGAAAGTATAAGAAGAAGAAGAAGAAAAGTAAATCATAAAAAAAAGCGACTGGAAATTACTAGACACGATATATCTGTATATATATATTATATATAATATACCTCCTTTCTCGGCAATCCGAAATCACAGATAATACGTTTTTTTTTTAACTTCGCGTGAAATCATCTCCGCGTACAAGCATCAAAATGCACGCAACCTGTACAGAGGTCTGGCGTGCAGCACATGAAATTTAACGTATAAAAAAAAACACACGAACTCCCGCGCGCATCCGTATAAAATTTCGTTGTGATGAACGTCGAAATGCGGCGGGGACTTTTCAATCGAATACCGAGCGGAAGTAGAGTCGTTTTTATATTTCTTCGTCGTCCAACGGCGGCGACCGCTGCTACCACTTTCTTCATTTCGTGGATTTCATTGTATAATCGCTAGAAAAAAAAAACGTCTCTCGTCGGCATCGTGCCACGGATGCATCTAATTATACTCTAATATCACCGTCGAAGATTACTTACTTCGTCGATCGCATTCGCGACGTAAAACCATATGTCAGCGCATCGAAGTATCTTCGCAAAAGAGAATATCGAAGAAGTCAGAAGTACAGTGGTCTACAAAATTCATTCAATCCGTGTTTTCATTTTCTTTTTACGAAGGAACAGACGATGGGATTACTATTTATGATGTTGATTACTTTAACTACCCTGATTACCAATTGAAACGATGAGTAGTTTAAACGAAGTCAGATTTACGTTCTTTCGTTCTGTTCTGTAGGTATTTTTCTTTTTTTTTTTTTTTATCCGTCGTCGTATTGCCTGTTAAAGACTAGATATATGCCTCTGTGATTCTGACGTGTTCGATAGAGTTAAACACATTCGAAGATGCGTCGCACCTCGCTAATTTCTTTCTCTGTCGCGCGTACCCACGGAGGAATTTTAAACCGACAGCGACCACAGGTACCGATCTTTCTTGTTCACACACGCGTACCAAAGGGAATTTTCGAGACGATCGTCGAGAAGGTTTTATCCAAAGACGAACGCCCACAAGACCCTGAGAAACTAATTGTAAAACTTACGACGTAGCGTGTCATTATGGTCCTGTCGAGTGAAACGTAATCGTTATTTTCTTCTTTTTATTGCGCCATGGCAATATACGCGCACTGTACCATCGTCTTATAAACTATGCAGTTTCTGAGGATTACTACCGCTACCACTTATCAACGTTTATCCGCTGTATCGTCAATACCACCGTATTTCGTTTAAGGAAACGGTGTTCACCTCTTAGTTAGAATAAAAAAAAAAAAAAAGAAAAAGAAAGAAAACGGAACGATCAATTATCGCGTGTTTCTTGAGACAAAGACACCATCGTACCGATCGGGAAAAAAAACGAACGAGATCGTTTCTTTTTTATCCTGGAAAACTCGCGTGTGCGCACACGTGAATACGCGTACGTAACAACATTTGTGTAAGTCGGTCAGCTACGTTAATCGCAACACAAGTATTACGTGTGCGGCATAAAGTGTTGATTCTCGAGTGGACGCGTCAGCTGTAGTTGGTTCTGTGTGTGCATCTGCATCTGCAACTGCATCTGTTGAGCTTGTAACTGCGCCAACGCAGCGGGTGAAGCAAACGCCGGATAAGCTAGTGTCGTGTTCAGGCACTCGTTGTGTTCTTCCAAAGAGTTCTGAGCATAATGTAGCACCAAGTGTTTCAAACTCTTGTGAATGTTATACGGCTCGGCGAAACCGAAGCCGCGTTCAGTACCGTATATTATGCAATGATTCACCGTACCGTTACACCTGTAACAAAAATAAACAGACGGTATTGTTTTGTGTCCTTAAGGCATTTGTCGAAAAATAATAGGCGTATAGAAAAGTAATCGATAAGTTCCATATTCGGCATTGAGAGAACTGGTGTAAACTCGATTGTAAGAAAGGTCAGTATTCATTTCGCGCAATTACCACTGTCGTAATCACCTTTGTGTATCAGTGTAGACGGTACAAACGTCGCGCGTTTGCATGAAATTTTGATAAGCACGACACGAGTATTTTTAACACGTGGATATCTACTTCAATAAGCAAAGCTTATGATACGAGTTGTTTACTAGTAAAGAAGCAAAGATTCTTTGAAACATTTCAAAATCATCAATTTCCTAATAAAATGAATACGTACATGATCGAAAGAGCGTATTGTCCAGTTCTCGAGGTTCGAACGAGAAATGTACCATCTGGCCTCTCGGCCAATAAACGATCAGCATCGGGACGAGAACATTCTAAATAAAGCCACGTCTTCTCGTCCGAATGAACTTCAAGATCCACTTCCTGAAGATCTCCGTACAATTCGCCCAATACAGGATTTGAAAGCGAGTGTAAAGTGAATATAAGTTTATTGATTTTGTTTTGATTCATACCATTCTTCTTCAACCATCTGAAACATAATGTATCGTTTACAAGTATTCTAACTAAAATTATATCACTGATAATTTAAAAAAAAGCACGCAACACTTACGTTACATGCTTATCCTTCTGGCGTTGAAGCTGTTGAATTTCAGGTTTCAGTTTCTGCATTTCTCTTTCGAGAGTTCTGTTGTAAGCAATCTGTTCTTTCAAGCAACGATCCAATTGCTCTCTGCTATCTTCTAAGGATTTCAGTCTTCGTTTCAACAGTTCTGCATTTTCGGTTAATCTATAAACACCAAAGTGATTATATACTCTCCTTCGAATGAATGATCGAAAGTACAGATAAATGATACTCACGTTAATATTTCGTGAGGTTGAGCTTCTTTCTGGAACTTTTCTTGCAATTTCGTTTGATCCTCGAACATTTTAATAGCCTCCGAGAACGCTTCCAACGCTTGCCGTTTCAGTTGTACCTCGGAAGCGGTTCTGTTATACATTTCAGAAAAACCAAGGTACTCCTTCAATGCGTCGGTTAACTCTTTGTCGAGTTCAATGTATTTTTGTACGACATTCGCCATGTCTGTTGTACTTCCAATATCATCGTCCTGATAAAAGAGAAGGAAAAAACGACAGACTCGATTTAATAATGGAAAAAAACAGAAACAAAGAGAGAGAGAACGACGTTTAAATCATCTCGAAAGTTACCTGTTGAAACCGAGACACAGGGTACAATAGTTTAATATCCAGCGTGGCATTATACTGTGCCAAAGAGCAATTCCTATAGTGATCCACCAGCTCGATAACCGAATGAAAGTTATACGGCTCCGAGAAGCCATATTTTCCGTTCCGCTGACAAATCTTGATAAGCTTGTTGGTCCCATCTTTACGCAATGTCAGGGTATATTCCCCTCCCTTCGAGGAAGCGTCACGAACCAAAAAGGTACCATCCGGTGCATCGATCATTTTCTCGTTAACTTCATCCCTCGTTATGTCTCCCCAATACCATTCAGCTTCTTGCAGTGTACGTGGCCTAATGAATGAAACGTAAAACAATGGATGTAGAATGTAGAGTAAGGAAAAATTTAACAACTCTCTCCCTTGAAGCATATTATTATAAATTGTTATTATTCACTATGTTTAGGGAGAATTACCTATGAGGTTGTTGCTGTTGTTGCTGTGGTTGTTGTAGCTGTTGTTGTTGTTGTTGATTACTTTCTGCGCTGGACGTTGATGGAGCCATAGTAGTGCTATCCTCGTCAAGAACAGGGAACGGATCTAAAACTGGAAATTGTGGTCTCGAAACTTTTCGCGGTGGTAGTTGCGGAGGACTCGCGAATTGTGGCAATCTTTCGTTCCAATCGCCGTGTAATAAAAGTATCTCTATAATTCGTATATGAGCCTCGATATTGTGAACGATTTGTCTGGAACAGCAAAGAAAATGATCATTTATAAAGATCCATACAAAGTACAATCGTTTGACCGCGACTAATAGATAGCCGGCCACATAAGAATTAACAGAGGATTCGCTGTCGAAGCAATAAATTTTTAGCAAAATGAAAAAGCAACCGATTGCGATTTATCTCTTCTGGTTCAACTCGTTTCAAGCGAAAAGCGATGATGCAACAACCGCGCATCGGTTAATGCGAAACTATGGAAACGCGTTAATTGGACATATTTTTATCATCGTTCGTCGCTCATCTCTTGCCAATACACTCGCGGCCTTAAACGTGAACGTACTGATGATTGACTAACTTATTGTATATCTGGTTGAAAGGGTTAACTATATTATTATATTATATTATTCCTATTCCTCTGACTGTTTACCGTTCTGTTCTGTCCCCAAAGGATTAACACACCCTTTTTTAAAAATAATAATCAATAATCTATAATTAACTCAATCATTTATTATATTTATATTGAAATCTTGATTTTAACGTTTGTTCTCGCAAAATCATGTACACCGATTATACAGACAACAACTCCACTGTGTATGAATTTACTGGAGTCTGATGTAGACACACAAGTATAATAAATTGAAATAATTATTTTTCTGAACTTACACGATCCGTTCCCAAGGTGGTCTGACGAAAATGTGACAGAGAACCTGTATGAGGATGGTAGGAGGCTCCGTGTAACCTCTTGCGTGTTGCAGCTGACAGATTCGACAGAAATGAGCCATCAAATGAAACAATGTGGTACGATGATGTTCTGGAAGCTCAAGGACCAGCTGTGCTAAACGTTGCGCGCATTGTTCGTCATTCTTCGTATCTAAATACAAGAAAACAATGTCTCCTATATCCTTGATTAAAATAAAACATCGTTATTTTGATTCAATATGGAACTGGATGCTTACTAGATGCTTCGATAAACCTGTCGTAGAATTGAACGGGTATCACCGGATCCGGCAATTCCCGTAGAAATTTCTTCAATACGCTCGCGATACATTGCGGGGTGTAGGAATTTAAATCAGCGTTACAAACATCTAGAAACGTAATGATGATTATTCGTTAAGAGAATGAAATATGATGGAAAAATATTGGCGATGGTAATAGTGAAAAGTTAATTGGCTGACATTACTTCTCAATTAGACGTAACAAGCAATGAATTTTGTTTACCTTCGTTTAACTTTTGCCGCAGTTCCAACGTTTGCTCGTTAGGAGGACTGCTGTGGTAGACTTTGTAAAGATCCAGCGTGCTATCCGCAAACGCCTTCTCCTCCAAGGCACGGGTACACCGTTCAACTAGGATAGGTGCGGTACGAGTGGAAGTGTCGAATTGCAAGCACAAACCAAGACCGAATACTGAAATATAAAATACAATCGATCGTATCAACAAATTTCTATACAGTCCACTCAAAATGTTAAATTATCTAATCAGACGAGCATGAGTAGAATAATTCGAATGAAAAAAATTTCATTTCCACCCAAGTGTATCTGTACGTGTATTTGCGATCGGTATTTCAATTGTAAGTCAAAAATTTCCATCGCACGCGTACAATTTCAAAATGTAAACACCGTTACACGTAACGAGTAAGTATAACCGTGTTTGGTAACGAAAGGGTTAAAAACTTTCGTTCGCACGTGTGTTGATGTTCGACCAATGACAGAGAGAAAAATCAAGGGAACAGCTGTGAAAACGAAAACGAAGTCGAAGACGAAGACGATGACGATGATACCATGTGGCTTATAATGCGAATCTTCGACGAGAGTAACGTGACAAATAGCAATAACGAAGAGAAAAAAAGTATGTGCAAACAGGTGCACGTAAACGAGAAAAAGCATCGAGTGTCATTGACCCGGTAGAGGGGTAATAATCGCGCGACGAAAATTAATTAGCTGTGTAAATTAGCGTCCGCTCGCTGGGGAAACATTCGCGGCGGGTTGAACGTCGCGGCCGCCACAGAGAAAACGGGGGCCTTTTGCTAAAGAGACAGAAACGGGCATCTGCAACAGATTCGTCCGTTTTTATGGATATGTTGGAAAGAAAAAGAAAAATTCCTGACATCTTACAGACGCATTCCAGACGCTCGAGGAGAAACGTAAAATCGTAAAGAACGTTCTCTCTCTCTTTCGTTCTTTCTCCGGCAGGCTGGATGGAGCAAACGAGTGACCCAGGGAAGTCGTAGCTACCATTCCTTTTTGTTCCAGCACGGATCGGACGAAAATAAGCGGGTCGAAAGGAAAGGATGCGTATATTTTTCTACGTGGTTACGTAACGTGTTCGCATGGTGGACGACATTCCATGGAGGCAGGGGTCTTGCACGAATATCGGCGTCCTTTCGAAGGACCATTGTGTACATAATCCAACTCCATTTATCCAAATACGTTTACCTATGCGGAATAATGAAATTTCATGCTTGAATTCACTTATTCAAATATGTCGTCCTATTATTCAAACAAGAAATCATTGTTACCGAGCCGAAGCAGTGACTCTCTATTAAGCTATCTAATTTTAACTTAATCATCGACAGCCACTGCTTACACAAATATAATATAATATAATAGAAAAATGTCCTCTATTCTACTGCTCCTCGTGTACCATCGGTACACGTGGTGGTCTCAGCATTTTCCATTTCAATCAGCAAAACTCTAAAGTCCAATTTCAGTGTAAGAATATGTAATAGAAAAATGATGATCGTAGTTTAAAAGCAAGTCGAACCTCATCGTCGATCCATCGTAGGACACTTGTACAATCAAAGGCGTGTAAGTACGCATGCATTATAAGAAGAAACTAAGATATAGACATGTGCGGAGGAGTGGGAAAGAGAGGAAAGAAGGCGAAGGATGAAGAGGAGAAGTGAAAAGAAAAGAAGATGGTGGGAGTTGTAGGAGAGACTGGTACCAAGCAGAGGTAGGAGAAAGAAATTTATTTTTACGACCACACAACAACGACGTCTTGTTCTGTTCGTGAGAGTGTATCTTGTCGAGAAAAAAAAGTTTGAATTAAAAATCTGCGCGAGCACGTCGGTCGGGCAATATAAATTAAACGCACTGACTGCCACGACGAGGGTCACCGATAATCGACATCTGCAATTTTGTACAATCGCATGAATAATTAAAAAAAAAAAAAAAAAGAGAGAGAAGACAACGGATTTATTTTTACTGCTATTTGACGTCGAATTTAACGTGTTAATAAAAAAAACAAGCGTTTCCATTATTCCATCTAAATCTAAAATCGGTAATTATTTAGAAGTTGGTCCTGCTCACCGATTTTCGTGACCTTGAAATATGTTGTCAAGGTCATCATTCTGAACAACTTTTCCCTATACATTGTACCGCTGCTCGGCCTGAGTTTCCGAGATATTTGCAAAAATCTTTGGTAATTAGTTAGAAGTTTGCCCTCCTCACCGATTTTCGTGACCTTGAAATATGTTGTCAAGGTCATCATTCTGAACAACTTTTCCCTATACATTGTACCGCTGCTCGGCCTGAGTTTCCGAGATATTTGCAAAAATCTTTGGTAATTAGTTAGAAGTTTGCTCTCCTCACCGATTTTCGTGACCTTGAAATATGTTGTCAAGGTCATCATTCTGAACAACTTTTTCCTATACATGTTACCGGCGCTCGGCCTTAGTTTCCGAGATATTTGCAAAAATCTATAGTTAAACTTAGATTACGAGTACACTGTATTCCGGGAAAAATGGAGACTGAATGGTGATTGAAAAGTGATTGAAGTGGTTTGAGGTTAGGGTTAGGGTTAGGGTGTTGTTTTTGATTTTTTCACGTTATAATTACTCTTTCTTTCATTTTTTATATATTGTATACCTATTATTCATTTTGTGTTTTGTCAGAAATCGGAAACATTTCGCCCATTATGTCAAAAAATGCCATTATACGCTCATTAACATCATGTTGACGTCGGAATAAAAACTCGGCTATATATTCCACGTAATGAGACGTACGAGTTCCATAACGAGGAATATTAGCTCTCGTATCACGCCATGTACGCAGTAAACCTAAACCTAACCTAAACCTAACCTAAACCTAACCCTAACCCTAACCTCAAACCACTTCAATCACTCTTTCAATCTTTTTTTACGAATATCTCGGAAACTAAGGCCGAGCGGCGGTAACATGTACAGGGAAAAGTTGTTCAGAATGATGACCTTGACAACATATTTCAAGGTCACGAAAATCGGTGAGGAGGACCAACTTCTAAATAATTACCCTAAAATCATTTCATCTAAAAGGAAAACGATATCTTAGGAAGTTGTCTCGGTTTGCTTATATCGATAACACTTTAATCGTCTACACTCTACACGTTGGATCACGATTCCAAGAGTTGCCACAGAATTTCTGAGAAAACTGTCTACCTTCGCGGGAACGCATACTCGCGGCGCGTATTACAGCTCGTAGGCGTCGTAAGTGACGAATGTGGCGATGATCTTCGTTGCAACTGTAGGTATCTATCTTGTTTTCAGTACACTTGGATAATAACTCGTAACCTACGATACGACTTTCAAAACAATAATAATTTGAGTGTTTAAAATTCATGTTCGAATCGTAATGTATGCGTTGATCACCGCAACATAATCTATTGATACGGAATAACAATAACAACAGCAAGTCGGTCCGGCTCCAACACTCTCGGTTCACACTTCAACCAGGCTATAACTCAATGTTTCGATCGAAAGACACCATGAATATTTAGTTATTCAGATATTAGAACGACAAGTAACGCGGCAAGCATCGCTGGCGTCCTTGCTGCAAACTTCATAAACCGTGTGTCCGCGGCGTTCGATTGCAAAGCAGGCAACAAGCTCGATTCCAGCGTCAGCGAACACGTTTCTGATGCAATCGGGGGATAGTCGCGGTTAAAAGACATCTGAATTTTTAAATTGTTTCCGTGTTTCCGTCCCATTAACGTAACGAAGAAGTAAATGGGTGTGTTACGGACCGAGGCTGTATCAATGTCACACGTTACGAAAGTGGACGGGTGCGTATGTATGTGTGGGTATTTTGTCACACTTACCTGGAGTAAATCTATGGACACGATTTTCCGAGTCGACTGGCAGGCAGTTAGGGGGCAAACCCGTCGCCGTACACGTCCTGTGAGCTACTAAACCGCAATCTATCGGACAGAAAGCAAAGAAAAACTATTAATATAGTAATATTTTCTATATTTCTCTTTGACAATCTTTTTTGTCTCATTTTTTTTTTTTTTTTTTTTTTTTTTTCTTCACTTTTAATCAGTCATCGTAAAAGTTTGACAAACGTTATCACGATCGATGATCGATTATTATCAATTGGTATCGATGAGTTGATAAAACACACCTAGACAGAGAAAACCTTGATGCAGCAGGCCCCTGAGGTATTTATGGCACTTGTCGCACTTTTCCAACACGCTGAAGCTTTGTGGCATGAGGGTATGAGCATTATTACAAGTCGAAGAACCACTGGCAACGGAAGAGATCGAGTCGGTGACCATGCTGGACGTGGATGGTGTGGCTATGGCGGCAAACTGTGGCAACGAAATCGACGACGGTGAGGCTGAAGACTGGCATAGCTCCTCGATGCAAGCTAAAATGGTTCTCTGGTGGAACTCATCCTTGATGCCCATGTTCTGCGAACAAGACAAATCGTGCGATCCTTTGTACCGTCGTTGGTCGAATCAACAAGTTTCCTGATTTCTTAATCCATTATATCTAACACTGATTCAAGTATTTCATACCGATAGCCCTTCTTTCCGGGTCAGTAGATTCCCGAGTCAACAGGTGTCAGGGACACAAAGTGTGTTAGTCTAATATGTTAGCTTCTTTACATGGTTAAATCGCTCGATGCATTACTATTATGGACTTCTGCTTGGAAATTTTTCAGCCGTATCGATTAAATCGCTATGGAATTTCTAAAACGTGAAGTAAATAGATTGTTAAATCATTTCGCTACTTCCGTCAGGCTAGCAGGAATTTTGTCCAAGTTATGGTATTCGGGTGTGAGAACGTCCTGGCTATTTTAAAATGTGCCGACTAACGTGTTTCCCGGCGCCACGTCGCGCACTGGGCCAAATCTGGCTATTATTAGCCTGTACGCGGCAAAAGTGAGAATCGATGCGCACACGTATGTAGGTAGAGTGTTAAGAAAAATAATGGTCACGGCTCATCGAGCGATTCGGTAACAATGCTGCGTAGAGGAGGAAATCTGGCCAACGTCAGCTATCCTCAAAGAAGTCGAGCGATAGAAGAATGTGAAAGATAGAGGTGACAGTACGAAGATGTTAAGTGTCACCACGAAGGGCAATCAAGTAAATAGGCATCGGTATACTATAAAATTGAAACTGTAAACGCCGAAATGCAGAAGCTGAAACACATGTCAAGCTACAATATTACTAGCGGACCCTGTTCCCTCTAGGTCAATAAGCAATGCCTTCAGTATTTTATGCCTCTGTAAGTTTGAAATAAGGCCACTTCGTAACTGCGACCCGTCAACGCTACAATTTTACACCCTAGGTCAATAAGCAGTATTTCTTACAGATGCTTTTGCTTTTACTTCTGCTTTTTTATAGCTCCATAAGTCTGAAATAAGGCCACTTTGTAACCATCAACGATCTAACTAATTTTCACAATCCATTCAGAGAGAACAAATCACTTCCCTAAGGTTTCTTTACAACTTATCCATCCTCTTAACGAGTATAACGAATACGGTTAAAAAAGAAAGTTTTAAGACGTAATTATCTCATTCTTCGTCCGACCGCGGTCGGTGTAACGACAAGTAGCCGCGGAAACGGCGAAGCCTTCGATCCGCGAGGACGAAACATAATTTGCCAGCTCATGGCTCGAGTGCAAAAAAAAAAAAAAAAGAAACGACCGACGAGAGTGTAGAATTTTTGCTTGAATCAGCGAACGAGATAAGACGGCACGGGGTTAACATGTAATTTATCAACGCTGAGACGGCCAGCGTGGAGCGTTAATTAGACGCGCAAAGACATCAATCCCGAAAGTTTGTTCTTTTTTCCTTTTCTTTTCTTTTTCGGGGAAAGAAAGACACACGTTTCTTGCATCGCGAGATGGTCGTTAAATTGTTACGCTTCGTCGTCTGGAACGGAAAACGCTTGCTCGACCGACCCGTCGACGCCATGATAAAGATAGTAACGCCCTTAATTTGTTTTCAATAATCGGACCGTGTCTCGTGCTCTGGAAAGAAAACGTCTCAGACGAGAACGAGGTGTCGTGTCGTTCTTCATAGAATATGAAGAGGGGAAACTGATTTGGAAGAAATCACGGCGTCGTCGAACAAACGTGTTCGGAATTCGTTATTCATTCGAGTAGCTAAGCAATGAGAAAGGTGTGCCAGGATGGCACGAACGGATTCGTAAATCGATTTCAGATTAAGAAAAGATACCTAAGGACCAAAGGATCTGCAGAGCTAAGGAGAAGCAGATGCGGTTTCTTTCCTACGAGACTCATGGGAGCTAAGGAGTGAATCCTCGAGCGAAGGACGAGGCGAACGGGAACCGAACGATTTCTCGCGCCGAAAGGACACTTGGAGACGATTTACGAGTCGATTAGCATGGTAATACACGATTTACGCTCGAAGGATCCTTGGCCAGACGAGTATTTTTACTCTTTTCGTCTGAACACGAGTATCGAGACGTGTCGAGACCCGTCGTGACTAAATTTCCAAAAGATCCTTGCTAACACGATCATCTATTCGAAAGAGAAAAAATAACCCCCGAAGTTTTCTTTTATGATAAAACAAAATCTCTTCTCCGAAAAAAAAGAAACTTGAAAAATTTGATGCTTATCTCAATGCGGAAATGAATGTCAAGCAATTAGCGAGCGACGATCAGTTGATATCAGATACAGTTAATCCATTAATGAAGAATTCGCTATAGAATCAATGAATTTATAGCGAAAATAAATTTCTATTCGGCACATTTTCGTCAACCTTCACCGTGAATTTACTCGTGGTTTTTAAAAGTCGTACACGATGCTTTGAACTGCTTCGAAATTCTGAAGTCATGCCCGAAGATAACGTTTGGAGAATTCTTTGGCAAAGATACGAACTCGAAGATGCTCGCCAAGTACAGCTGATAAACGGTGAAAAATTTCGCCGAAGGAGGAAAGATAGAAAGAAAAAAGGAAAGAGTAAAATATATGTACGTGTATGGGGGAGAGAGAAAAGAGAGAGAGGGACGGAGAGAGGAGTCGATAAAGAGTCGAGCGTGGCGTACAAGAGACGCTACACAGGGCAATTACAGGGTCAACGGGCCAAGGAAAACGTCGTCCAGATACTCTCGACTCGAGGTCATCGCCTTTGAGTACTAGCCAAAGAATTTTCGATCTCCCACCAACATGGTTACTGAACCGACACGGTTCCCTGAATCGAAACCACGAGAGAAACGAGAAGAAAAATTCGCGGTCGACTACCATATTGCTTGCCATCCGTTCTCGATCTCCAAACGATCAGACCCTTATCGACTTTTAATGGTCTCACAGTTGTTCGCTACCAAGTTTCCGATAAACGTTGGAATTTTAACAAACTCTCCCGGCGATATATCGAAACTTTACTCGATTTCCTTGATAAGAACAAAACTAAAATGCTCGATCAATTTTTCGAGACGCGAATAATTTGCTTCGTCTTTTCTGTCGCGATTAGTGCAAAGCTTTCTATAATATTAGGTTACTGTTTATCAAGCACAGAAAGTCTGATATAGTTTAATGGCATAATAATAATGAGATGGAATGTAACAAGAAATTGTAACTATGAAAAGAAAGAAAGAAATTTGGATGAAATTGACTTACCATGAGCTTATCCCGGTCTAGGTGGGGAAGATCACTGCCCTTGACGTCCTTCGACTTGAAAACGTCCGCATAGCGGTAGAGATTTAGGGCAGCCATCCATTCGACCACGTTTAATGATGTCCACTCGTTCACGGGCTGCCGATAGAAGTGAACGACTCAGGAATAAAAAACATTTCTATACCAAGTACAGGTATGAAGTGATCGAAAAGGAAATGAAATGGCATCATCGTGGAAGGAATTCGCGCAGAATCGCACGGCGCAACGATTCGCAAAGAAACGCTAGCAGATATAATTAATCTGACTTATTCGCGAATGAAATTATGTAACGAATCCGGTATAATCGTCGGTAGCGAATTCCACGCGCCGATAAATCGCAATGACGCGTTTACCATTTAAAAAATTCGCACACGAACCCGCGGGGAAAACGTGCTTGTATAAACAGAATGAATAATTTCAGACACTGGCGTGATCGATTCCCCTTCTCCCATTCCTTCTTCCTCCTACAAATTCCAGTCTCGTTCTGTGAAATTCGAACGTCAATTAAGTTGCTTGAATTGGTCGCAAGTGTCTCGGAAATCTATTGGTACGCTTTCATTAACGCGTCGTCTGTTGTCAAAGTCATTGCTGATCGATGCTTGATATTTCATTTAACCAAATCATTGAAAAATTACATTAGTAACATTAGTAACTTGAAATACAAAATTAGTATGTCGTGTTGCAGCAGACGTGACTAATTCTATTGTGCCAGACAACGCATTAACACCTTATCACGTGAAAATATAAATTATTAAAGATTAACGATTAAAGATGTTTAGTCTATAATTTACACTTCGACAACCGCAAATATCATGTCATTTTCTTATATCCTACATATACCTAAAGGAAATTTGCCTTTTTCTCTCACAACTACACTTGTTTGGGCTGACTGTCGAGCAAGTAGAGGCGTCCGTCCAGTGATCAGACACAAAGAGACTGATTCTACTCCCTGCACGGACAGGAATGCCAGAAATTGAACACGTTGATTGTCGCACTCGAAATACACATAACGAGCAATATATCGATAGAGTAGTCGATAAAGCGAAAACGTAAAAACCAACGGGGAAAAAAGAAAACGTAACCTTCTCTCGTAACCTTAAGACTTAAGCCTACGATCGGGACGATATGAGCTAGATAAGGCTGAGCTTCGTATCACGACCACTCGAAAAAAAACTCAAGTCTGATCTCTGAATATTCACATTTATCATTTGATAGACTGTGGGAGAATTTTCTTAGAGAAATTGTAAGAATCGTGAAAATTGTGAAAATTTATCAATGTCGTGAATCGTGTTTGAACTCGAAGAAAATAGAATACCGTTGATTGTATAAGCTTGATAATGTGATTAGAATTATATCGGCTCGAACGTTAACGGAAACGCGTGAGACGTTCTTCTATACAATCGTGTACAATTCAAGCACGCGTTAATGTTTACCTATAATTAGAAACCAAGAAACCGAGGATCAAATGAATCGTAACCGTTCTAAGTATCTCGCTCCGTTCAATGCTAATTAATTATAGAGAATTCTAAATAATTATAAATTCAGACATCGATGGTAAGTCGACAATTGTCGGTAATTGTAAACAATTACCTAATATATATGTAGATAATATATTGCTAGATTTTCTTCGCTATCATTCGCGAAAGTTTCAAAAGAATTCGTTTCGTTTTAATCGTCATTGATTTACGATACCCCGGCACCGCTACTACAGTAGAAACGTCAAATGATTAAGTCATCATTTCGACCTTGCTCCTATCGAAGACCAGACGGAATCATCGTCACGATCGTAAACTCTAAACTCGCAATGATAAACAGCAACGTTGTTAACGAGAGAAAGTCAAATGTAAAGATTACACTTATAGTACTACCGGTGTTTCCCTAAAAACTGCAAAATTATCGCTTCCGTTCCGTACACTGTAAATATAAACATTGTATTCTGAATGATTCGTAGCAGTAGCTTTAACCGTACAGATAATCAAAGTTTTAAATCTCACACGATATTCAACGTATTAATAATCTATATCATTTTGTGTCTGAATATACATCGTTATCTCTACTGCGGTCCATTGTGGCAGTCGAAGTGTAATAACTGCAACCATTTCCTATACATTATACACCGTCCGGTCCCCTCGCGTACCGCATGCAAGAAAAGTGCAAGAGAAACGCGAGAGAAATGTTCATAAAAAAGAAAAGAAAAGTTCCCCTTTAACGGTTTAGCGTTGCTTTCGCCGTGAGATAAGAGTAACGATGCTCGTAGATTGCGATTTATCAAGGGGGAACGAAGCGAGCCTGGACACGCGTCGAACAAGCAGAAAGAAGGAACAGTTCGAAGCAGAGAAGGAGAAGAATGAGCGATCGTACTGACCTTGTCCTTGTCGAGAACCTGGCCCGGTAGCGCGTGACCCTTGCTACTCCATTGGCAGAGATGCTGCCCGCTGTACTCCGAGCAGACCACGTGGAAGCACGCATGACACTCTGTGGGACATAGAGAACCGCACATGCAACAGCAGGGATTACAAGCGGCTGTTAGCTTATTAGTGGTCGTCTCGGACCCGGTTCCATTGCCCTTGACAAGGGCGCGTTGCCCGTTACTGGCAAAGCCCTGCTGACCGATTGAATTCGCGTCGACACCGCCCTCTGCCACTCGTTCGCGACTACCGCTCAACGAGCGCGACCGCGACCGCGACCGCGACCGCGACGGTTCGATGGTCTGCAGCCACGGCTGTTGCAACTGCGGTACGATACTGTCGCACGAGCACAAGAACCGATGAAATGACACCGGTCTGGCACAAGCGGAAACGTTTATCCAACAATTCTGATCGTGTTCGACGTGTTCGCTCGTAGGCGGTGGCGGAATAACGTTTTTCGAACGAAACGTTTGCCTCGCAGCATCCTCGTTCTGTAAACTGTTAATTTGGCCCGATTGGGGTACGTTCAACGAGGATATACCGGGATAATGATTGAGAGTTACGTTGCCGTTCATCAAACTTGTGGAGATCGATGGAGTCGAGGAGACGACGGGTGAGAAAGTAGTAGCGGGTGCAGAAGAGCAGCTGGACGAAGGGGAAGTGCTGTTAACGGGATGAGTTTGGTGATTACCAACAACAGGGTAACGTCTGGATAAGGGCAATGTGACATTCCCTTTGGATTTGCTCAATTCGGAACCGCGAGTGGGATCGTTGACGTAAATGTTTCTAGACGGGCTTGGTCGGCTCGTCGAACCGGTAAAATGAAGATCGTTGTAGGTCGCATTGTGGACAATGGTTGGTAAATGTGATGGCAGTTGTCTCGAATCGCGGTGCAGCTGCAGATTGGACGCGATCGAGGTGGAGGCGGTCGATGCTGGTGGCACGATCGTTGGGGTAACGGACGAGCTCGAGGCGACGGGGTTCGTCGTCCCGGCACCCTTCCGGAGCATGTAATTGTCCGAGTCGACAGCTAAGAGCCGTGGCATGGCCGTGCTTTTAGCTTTATTGTCATCGCTCGGGTTCTCGTTCGGCGACTTGAGTGATTTCGGTGATTTCGGCGATACTTTCGTTTCGGCTAGCTTCTCGTATTCCTCTCTGTTCGCTGGCGACGTTATCGGGCTAAGGAGATCGTGTATCCTTCCGTGTAAGGTGACCGCAGGCTGCACCTGCGGAGCAGCGGTCGCAGCTGCGGCGGCGGCGGCGGCGGCAGCAGCGGCAGCGGCGGATGCACTTGACGCCCGCTTCATAGCTAAGGCCGGTCACGATCATCAAAGCTCCAGCCACGACTAGGTTTTATTAAACGCTTCCATGCTGGAGGCTCTCGAGTTATAGTCGCTGGTGCGTTCCGGTGAGTCCTGAGCCTCCCTCGACAGACACGATTCACGAGCCCTCATCGTCGTCTCTGCCGCGTGTCACCGACTTTTTCCCTCGTTCCACGGTTTCCACCTTGAAATCGTTGTAACTCTTTCTTCTTGCTCTTCCTCTTTCACTACTCGCCGCTGCTGTTCGCCGTGGGACGTTTCAGGCGCCGCGTCGACAGACTCTCGTGTGTTAAAAACGTGAACGTTTTGCTCGAGTCGCGGTGCAAGGTCACTCGCATGTCGTCAGTAACGCTCGCGCCGATCGGTCCCCGTCGCGCCGCGCCGCTTTGAAAGAAAACTTTCTTCACGGACGACGGTCGATCTGAAAATTTGGTTCGAGACGTTCCGTCAAGTTCGTTGATCTCTGCCGTTTCTACTCTGTTCCGTGTCACTCGATTTTTACACCGTGCCGCGACTCAGGCCTCTCCACTCTTCTCTTTCTCACCCCCTCTTTCTCTGTTTACAAAAGAAACCGAAATCCCGATGTCCTTAATCACCGTTTAAAAATCGTTTAATTGCCTACCGATCAGTCCCGGGTAAACGTGTCGTTTCGCATTCGATAGTTAGCTTATCGCCCGAACACGCCGATATCTTCATGAAGAAAAGATTCCATTCGGTATTAACGCGAACGTAAGGAGGGGGGCAACAGTCTGTCGAATTTGAACGGTAACGTCGAGACACGATCCAACGTGTGATTCGTTGCACGTTCAACTTCGTCCTTTATTATTAGTACGATTAAAATGGAAACAGACAGACGGAGACACGAAACGTAGGAAACGGATAAAGATGAGAAAAAAACCGATGAGAGCAAGAGGGAACGAGACGAAGAGGAAAAAGTCGCTCCCGTGGGTGTGACCTCGTGTAAATTCGTTTTCCATAAATCTCACTCCTACCACTTTTCTCTCTCTTTCTATCTCTCGTGCGCGCACACACGACCTTTGTATAAACGCCGAGATTCGCCGAGCCGAACGAAACCGGTTTCGTCAAGCAACGACACCGAACGATTTTCAACGTAGTCCCCGCGAGCCGTGTGTAGCCGACGGGAGAGATCCTCGTGGGTTTATCGAGTGTAATTCCAGGTGACCTTAAAGCGGTTCCCTTCGTCAATTAGATCGAATTTATTTTACCAATACGCTCGACGAACAAGGTTTTCTGCTTGCACACGATACGTCTCGAATCGAATCGAATCTGTCTTGGAATCAAGCGATACGCGCATGCCTCGATCTCCGATTACTTTGCCTATTCAAACAAATGTGTCTGTTCTGTTTGAATGTTATACCCTTTTATTGGTTTTCCCTTGCTTCCTCCAGCTTTCCTTCTCTTTCCTTTACTTCGTGCAAAGAATCACGTTCTGCTCCGGATCTTCGTAACCTTCACCGTAGTTCATTAATTGTGGTAAAACAACCGGCTCCTGTCTAGTGTCTTGATAACGTATTAATTCCAGACGCAAATTAGATATAGTTACAAAATGGTTCTCGTGTTGCGGCTAATGTACGGAACGGAGAAGTGGTTCGCGGTAAAAACGTGCTCGTCTGATCACACAGGTTCACCGAGACACTTACTACTTGGTAACGTCGATTGAAATTTCTCACAGTCTGTATCCACGGTCGTCCAATAAAAACCGTTTGGAAATGATTTTCTTCTCCTTCGTGTTCACATGTAATATATCACTGGTGAATCCGAACGATCCGTGCACACAAATATCCTCGATCGCACGAAACTGAACACGCTCGCGCTTGTTCTTATCGCGACCACCAGAAATCCGCGACTGCTGCGTCTCCTCGGTCTGCTTCTCTTCCCGTTCTCCTTCCTCGATAGATCACTATACGAAGCCACTTTACCAACAGCGAATCAACGAGCTCTGTCGGTAAAGCAGGTCGGTACGGACGATCTTATTACCTCGTTTCTCGTTCTTTTCTTCTCGTGCTACATACATCCTTTTCTCTTTACCCTAATCATCCCATCGCGAACAGGCTTTTTTCACTAGATAGTTGAAAAGCTGTCTATCGAAATTTCTTCAATCTTCTTTGACCGATAGATTTTTATGCTTAAGATTAAACGTTGCGGCAATGAATCAAACTCTTTTTCTGGTGAATAAAATGTGACCGGTATAGAAAAATCACGTTACCGAACTCTCACGATCGTCTGTTCGTTCTCCGATCGGTCCACACCGGAACACCGGTGTCTACGTGCCTACTCGCAGAGGCAGCGCACGCACGAGATGGAAAAGTCCACTGGGCACTGCACTTTTTGCACCGGCAGTCTGCACCACGCGCACACCTGCACACACGGCCACGACACACACGTCACTTTGTGCACATATGTACACGACACCTATCTATCCATCCGTCTTTCTTCCTTGATATACGCCTTTCCCTCTTTCTCGACCGATGTCGTTCCTTTGCTCTTCTCGTCTCGTCCCGACTCGTCTCGTCTCGTCCCGTCTCGTCTCGTCTCGTCGCGTTCTCTTGCTCTCTTTCTCTTCCTCTTCCTCTTCTTCCCTCACATCACTATTGTTTCTCTTTCTCTTGCATCCATTTGCTCTCTCTCTCTCTATCTTTCACTCGGCTGCTGGCCGTGCACAGCCGGTCTACGTGCCGACTAGTAACACCGTGGGCCAAAGTATCCAACTTCTTTCCCGTTTTTTATCTTCCTATTTCTCCTCGTTTCCTGCTTGCTCTTCTTTACACTCCTTCAAATATAACTTTACGTATCAGAAATTCTATTTGAAGATACGGTACTAAAATTTTCGGCTTTTTCACTGAAGGAAATTCACGCACAAATGTAACCAGCACCATCAACTAATCCATGTACTATGCTCGGTTTTTCAGACTGCTGCTTACTGCCTACTGTCGGTTCAGTTGGTACGGTCGGTCTTGTCTTTTAACTTCTACTACTTGTCGACCACTTCCCGAAAATCGAAAACGAACAACTATTCTTTTCAGCGGGTCTCGTTCAACACTGATCTCATTGTCGGTTCGTCAATAAAACACCTTGCCATTGCCACCGTGGTCCGCGATCATGTATCTACGCGGACGATTTTCTACCAGAGAAAACACCTCCGACGGCTCGGCGCACAGCTGACCGGCCGGTCCGCCAAGTTCGGTCAATAGCCATAGCAGTCACAGCCTGCCGAGGGTTGCTCGTGCTCGACCGTCGGCGTTACACTTCGGCTCCATTCGCCTTGTTTCGGCTCTTTCCGTGGCCTTTATGCCAGCCACCGCCGTAGCTAGCGATCGCTGGACCCCAACCTCGCCGAACGATCGAAGCGGCTTCGTGGAAATTCCTTGAAACGTTTCTACCGCGTTCACTGGGGCTTTACAACAAACGCTTCTCACGCTCGGTATCTCGTCTTGTTTCACTTGGAAGAGAAACGGATCTTTTTCGAAGGAACGCTGGGTTTTTTATCGGGGCACGGAACCGATAGTATACTTATTGTTAGCTTACCAATCGAGAAACGCGTGAACGGGCTGACGATTATCGAGATTCTACTGTCGTCTGATTGGTGGCAGAGGTTGACAGCTTTTATCAAATAAACATGAAATAATTCGAAATTTGCGTACAATCGTTCGCATGCAATATTGGATTATGTATTTTGTTTCCACGATTTGTACCTTTTTTGGGTTCGTTACGTATAAAAGGATTATTAACGAGTTTCGGGCAAAAACTTATCGAGATAGTTAATTCAAAAAGATTACTTATTTAAAAATTACCATCGAATCGCAATCGGTCTGTCAACTTGGGCTTAATTCCTTATCTGGTACCCAGCTGCAATAAAGTCTACCGAACGAGCACGTCCATAGTTGTTCCTAAGCGCAATGAAATAAAAATCAAGTGCTCGAATAGCTGATACAAAAGTCACGTTCAAACGGAAAAGACACGCGAGACGGTTTTACCGTCGTTCGTGACTAAATCCCAGCTGGACCTCGATTCTGTACGTGGTAATTCAACCTGTGTATATGTATCGGTTTTGAAGAACGTTAATCGTTCGCGTCGAACATAGATCCTGATAATTCAAATTAGAAATCATTATTCCTACACCTTGATACTCTAAATTATTACGATATCAAATTAAAAATTTAAAAGATATGTAAATCATTATAAAATCGGCAAGCTTCTGTTTGAGCTTTCGAACATGAATGATGGCTGAGTACAAAAGCGACCCCTCGATGGAATAACAGAAAGAAACAGAATCAAAAATCCCGTCCCCTCGTTGCGCGCAGTAAATGTCAATGCTGACGAGGCCAAAATCAGATTTCATTCTTTACGATCAGCCTTTGGTCTCGCCCTTATCGTGAAAAAGCCCTATACGTTGAAGGGTGCGTGTACGCGCGTGCTGTCGCGCGTATCAAGAGCTTCCTGCGGCACTCGAGTCACATGAAAGGGCCGCGCGTGTATTCGAAAGGGAAGAAAGGGACGTGAAAGTGAAAAGCGACATTCCAAGGTGAATGAGGAGAGCCAAAGGGAGAAGAGAAAGAGATCGAAAGAGTGAGAGAGAGAGAGAGAGAGAGGGTGAAGGAGAGAAGCAAGATACAAGGATCCCCGGACGTAGGATGATCGAATCCAACCGCGCATGCGAACTACGCTCGGTGTCCTGTTCAAGGTCACAGCACAAACTACGTAACAACCCTTTGGCCCTGCGTAAGCATAAAAGGACCGATCGATTTTGTAAAAGGGAAAGACCCGACTGATAGACCCTTCCGTCGAACAACAGGGCTTTAGATTAACCTTCAAACAGCGATGGCCGGGTCAATAGTGACCTATAAAATGTTTATAACAGTGCATTAAAATGGAGTACTAAAGTTTCGAAACGAAGTACTTCAAAAGTAGAGTTCCACTGTCGAAGTGAGCGTGTTAAAGATAAGCCTGGAAGTAGAATAAGCTCAATGAGCAGACAAAAAGGAGTATTCTCATGTAGGCAGGACAGGGTAATCGAAACACCGATTTCGTCCAATTTTTGCACAATTACAGAGGACACCGAGAACACCAGAAGTAAAAAGTGTAAATTTCCAAAGAAAAATAGATACAATTTTCTCATTTAACGAATTTTCCCGGCACGGATCTGAACGACTGAAAGGGAAAAAGCAAGTTTCACGAGCATTCTCTTTCCCTCTCGCGTCTAAAGGTGTGCATCGTGAGAGCAAAGATATTCCTAGATATTCGACACTAATATTGCGGCAAGAAACGCGTTTCCTTTTGGCGTGCACACTCGGAGGTATGCTTTAAATCAGGTCGAAAGAGGCGCGGCGCGCTTTTCACGCCAGCTCCGTACCGCGTGTTATTAAATATCTCTATTGCGAGAACCTTGCTTGATAACTTTCAAACTATACGTTTCTACATCGTACGGCTGGTCAAAGAAAAGTCGTCTTGCAAAAACTTGATTCGACGCATCGAGCGGAGAATATTTTGCGTGACCTAAACGTTTATCAACCCACCGGGATCGTGATTTGAAAATTTAAGACAGAAGGTGTCGCCGATGCACGCTGATAGACCTATCGATCGATGGATTGATCGATCGTCGGCGATTGAGGGCAAACGTGTGCGTGATGGATCTTTGTTGGCGGACCGATAGATCGTCTTCGTCACGCGCGAGGAGAAGACACGCGCTAGCGCGTGCACACGCCCGTATTTGATTATAAGGAGGACCTTGTCGCCATCTTTCATTTTCTGCATACAAATCTTATCTTGATCGAGAAGCATACAATAGCCTGCATCGAACGATACAAACAAATTGAAGAATTCTTTTGAAGGTGATTTAATAATTTTAATGATTTTAATACGAGGGGGGGTGGAAGGAGGTTCTCGGTTGATCTGTTAAGACAAAAACGTTTAGTACAAATAGAATCCAATAAAATTAGAACGAACATTATACAATAGCGTTATAAAACGTTATCTTGATTACAAACAACTTTAATAAGATAGAGTCGATATACCCAATGTATCAAGTATATCAGTATGTGTACCTATATTATTGAATTAATTATGTTCAATTATTGAATAACAGCTGTTAGTATCGTATTAGATACTCTATAGAGAAATATAAGTTGGGGTCAGTTTGTGAATCCATTGACGGAATGAAGCTTCTACAGTCTCATTTACATTTTCATTATTAATCGCAATTTCAATACCGGACACGCCGCGTTCGCAGGCAAAAGCAGCGAATCACCGCACCGTATTTTGATTCTATCGATGCAATATCAGTTACGTAACCATGCAAATTGATTCGTAAAGATTCATGTCTAGTGTCTTTTTTTTCTACAATCACGCGGTGTATGCAAAATTAAGAATACTATAAAGTTTCTTAAGCTGGTTAATGAGGTTCGAAACGTGTTCGGTCAGAGTAAGGGGAGCGCCAAGAAGTAGTCTCGATTCGAAGAAATACGAACAATAACACGAAAGAGTGGGCGGTAAACTGCTGGTAATGAGACGAGCTACAGTGGCGACGTTACGTAATCGACGAAATTGCGGGTGCCACGACGGTAATAATTAACGACTCGACGTAATTGCCGAACGGAAAGCGGTCGATGAAAAACGCACGTACATACGTGACTCGGTGCGAAACGCGAAACGCTTCTACCGTGTCCTTCGGTCAGTTCATGGATCTCTCTGATCGACTAATAGATACCGCTATCAACTTTCGTACTGAAACTACGAAAATAGCATTTCCGGAGCTTAAGCCCCGTGCGTTGCCGGTTTTACCGTATCCAACGGTAGTGACCGATTATACGTGCATATTAGTTCTTGCAATGACATAATATGGAAAGGATTAATTGAACGAGAATCATCGTCGAGCCAAGTGATCGTAACCCTCGATCGACTGTGTCGTGAAACATACCCTACTCTCACCGTGTCGACTATATCCTTTACCCGGGGAATCCCGAATTTCCCATAGCAACGTGACGGTGCACTCCATTACCCATGACCTCCGCCCTGAGCCTGGGGTGCCTGCCTCTATATCCGCGAATCAATGCAGCTCCATTGCGTGCATCCCGGCTGTGTATACGTGTAAGAGGTCCCTGAAATGCAGCTGGTACCCTCTAATCCTAATCGAAACGTGAATACGTAGCATATCAAAAGAAACATAGAATTCACAGAAAATGGAAAAGAATGACGAACGATCTATCAGACTTTCTGCATCTCGAAATTGGTCGTTTTGTGGAAAATTTTTCGAAAATTCATTTACACGATTAAACGAAAGGATTGAGAGAAAAATTTTCCGCGAGACTGAAAATTGAAGGTGGAAAAACGTGTAACGAGACGTAAGGACACGAAGGTAAACGCCAACGCCGCTCGAAGGTGTACCGAAAGAGGGGACTCGCTTGCTCGAGGTGGACGAGTTAATTTTAGTTTAATCGACCGACCCGATACGAAGAGTTAACTCACGCGCGTACTAGCGTCAATGCACGTAAAGTACGTAAAGTACATAAAGTAAGCATAGGACAAAGAAAAGCAGGACAGCGCGGCATGGCATCGTGATACATACGGAAAGGACTCGTTACGGGTCGTTACTTTTACGTGAAACTTCGACAACGATCGCTTTTTCCCCACCACGGAATTCATTTCCGAGTTTCCCGACCCTTCTACTACGAGTCGACTCGTCCAGGATCATTGGAGGAGTTTCTGGAATTTACCAAGAATCTGAACGCTATGTGACTCGACACACGTAACAACGGACTGCCTAGATATTGCTTTTCATTATGTCACGAGTTTTCACTCTGATAAAATAACAAAAGAGAAGTTCATCGATACAGCTACTTATCTATTTGTTAAATCTTCTAATGACTCAAATAAGTTAAGCGCATTTCGATTAGTGTAAATGGGACGGGCGAGGGGTGTCCGAGGTCATTCCTATCGAAATCATTCAATTAAGGTCGATGAAACAGTTTTATCGGGCCAGTCATCGAGCAACGAACCGTGAACAAGATACATACTTTTCCCCTTTCGATATCATTTATTATCAGTGATCAAGAATTTTGTGGCTCTCGATCGTCGATCGATTTTACTATCGTAAGAAGCATCGAGAAGTAAGTATGTAAGTACGTACGATGCTCGTGCAACGAAACGATGCATCGAGCTTACCGACAAGACACCACACGGAAGTCAAACGTTCCCTCGACGATAAGAATGTGCAGGGCGTTCTCAAGAGACGAATCGAATACAAATAAGACGAGGGAGGGTCGAAGTACCTAGCGAATAACGAGCTACCAGAATGCTTCGAGCGTACCTACAACTCAGATTCCAGCTTGAATCCGCGAGAAGCCTGGCTTCCGTGACAACACCGGAAACGATCGAGGAAACATTCTTTCTCTTGTTCCCAAATATATAGTTGATACAGTTAAAGATACCTACACACTTCAGATGAGACTTTGTCACTCTTTCCAATAAGTAAATATGTAGATAATATATACCTATATATGTAGAATAATTTGAATCTTGAAATGCTCCACATTTATTTGCATGATTAGGTGAAACAAAAAGCAAAAGTGAACGAATGAATGAAAGTGAAGAAATTGCCGCATCTGTTTCGATACGAAGGAGAAAGAAGCAGGAACCGGAAATGGGTAGTAGGAAATCGAGGGGAAAAAATGGAGTAAAAGTAGGAAAGGGTGAAGGGTGAAGCGCTTGCGCGACGAGCTCGTTTCCATGGCTTCGTTCGTTCCACGTAGCAACAGGAGGACTTTTGACCCCGTTCGATTGTCCTTCGAAACAACTCGGTGCCTCGTCATTTTCTCCCGCTTTGTCGGTCGGGAAAGGTGAAACGCATCGTTGAAC